GGGGCTGGAGGGGGGCTGGGGGGGGTGCAAGTAGCTGGTCTTGCCTAGGGCGCAAAATAGTCTAGCACCGGCCCTGCCTCTGACCAATTGTTTTAGGGCATCCTGAAAATGGGGGCATGATTTAGTGGGTGTGGCTACACACGGGAGAAGCCGTGGCGAGTAGGCTGTCCCTAGATTTCATATACAGAATCTGGTAACCTTTGTACTGCCGCATTCCATCTTTCCTAGTCTTGGCTCTGCTGATCTCTTTCAGCAGTTGTGCCGGTGTTCTATCGAAAGCTCCAACTCGTCGCGATCTCCAACCACCTGACTTCCGGTTTAGTTAGAAGAGGTTTGGGCGAGAAGGCTGTACTGCACGTGCGCCACCCGCAGCATTTCCCTATACACATACCACACAGCAATAAAGTATTACAATGAACTAGGGTGACAGTAATCCAGCACTCAATATGTCCACAAGCGGCGGCCATATTGAGTGGGGCAACTCAGGTGAATAACGTGCTGGATTACTGTCACCCTACCGAATTTTAATACTTTATTGCTGTGTAGTACGTGTACAGGGAAATGCCGCAGGTGGCGCACGTGCAGTACAGCCTTCTCGCCCAAACCTCTTCTAACTAAACCGGAAGTCAGGTGGTTGGAGATCTCGACGAGTTGGAGCTTTCGACGGAACACCGGCAGTCTAAATATGACTGCGCAGTCCAATGGCTCTAGTTACACCCAGCGCACTCAGTAATCAGCACTCAGATCAGACCCTCTGTGACCTGTAAATGGACACTTGTGCTGGAGGGTGTGTCTGTTACTCAGCTCTGCCAGCACGGAGCACTGCAGGGGAAGAACAGGAAGCAGCATTGTCGCTGGTATGAAAAGGATATTTGATGGAATTTTGCGTCCAGGTGATAAATCGATCTGAAGCTGCGAGACGGCAATTAGGATTGAAGTTCTGATCCGAGAGTTGTGAGCGGAGGTTCCTTTCCCTGAGCTCGGGGTTGTCCTGTAATGAATGCGTTATTTTATGCAGATGAAGTCGCCTTTCCATCCTCTGCAGCGTTTCGCAGCCTTGATTAGGGCGCGGGGGCTTTTATCCGCTGATGACGCAGCCGCCGCTGGCGACGAGCCTTTCCGCGCACCTTGATTCACCATCAATTAACCCCGCGATGGAGGTCAAACGTATTAAGCTTTCGCTCGGGATCATCAATCATTTTCCTGGACGGCGTCGGAGGAGCGCCGCTGAACTCTCCCAGATAAACGGCTGATTAGTTCGTATGAAGCCTCGTTAGGAATAATTACGCCGCCGTTCTGGGCCGTCCGGGGAATTCTTCACCCCGGCAACAGCGTTTCTCCCGTCATTCACGTTTCCGTCCGGCAGATCTTTGCGGCGGCTTTTTAATTGATCGCCGAGAGAATGGCGGCTGACGCGTTTTATTTTAAAATGAGCCTCCGATTGTCTCTCTGTAATTGGCTGCTCGGGGGAAACGGCGAAAGAAAAAAAAGATCCATTAAAGGAGAACTCCGAGGTCAGTGATTTTCCCCACAGTTCTCCTTAGGGTAACGGGAGGACACAAACTAGCGTCCTCCCGTCACCCAAAGCTCAGTATATAGGGAGCTACAGCTCGCCGTATACTGAGACGCTGCAGCCGGAGCGGATCCCGACATGGACGTCGGGATCCGCCCAGCTGCGTGAGTGACAGCTGGCTCCGCCTATCTAGAGGCAGAGCCAGCTGTACCCTCCCCAGTCAGCGCTGGTGGATCGGAGCGGGGAGGGGGGAATCCTGCCCCTCCCCCTGTCACGGCAGAGAGCCGTGACAGGATCGAGAGGTGAGCGAACCCGGTATGTGTCTACTGAGCCGACCTCTGACAGTCTCATTGTCACAGGTCGGCTAGAACTATGAGGTGAGTGGAAATCACCCCCCCCCCCTCATATTTCTTCTTTTAAAATAACAAATTTTGTTCATTTCGGTGATTTGGGCGGCTGAAGAATTATTGTTATTGTGGTGAAGATGAATTTACCAAATAGCCATTTGCCTTAAAGAGAACCTGTCTACAAACCCACACCACAGACCCCTCCCCCCGTTCCTTGTAACATTCGATTTACCGCTGCAATGAATTCTGCAAATATAAAATATGACAAAACTGACGGCATTGTAAACATATTGTAAAGCGCAGTTAAAGAAAGTTGTGACCCTCAAAATGTGGAATGTTGTTTCTGGCAGTTATAAAGTCAGATTAAAGGAGAACTATGAGGTGAGCGTTTTTCACTCATAGTTCGGGGCGACGTGTGACAATGAAACTATCACATGTAGGGTCAGTAGATCGGGAAGTGAGAGAACACATACCGGCGCTCGCTCACTTCTCGATCCTGTCCCTGCAGAGAGCCATGACTGTCACTCACGGCTCCCTGCAGGGATTCTCCCCCTTTCCTGCTCCGCTGACTGGAGGAACGGACGGGGGAGGCCACAGCTGTCTCTGCCTCTAGATAGGCAGAGCCAGCTGTCACTCACGCAGCTGGGCGGATCCAGACATAATTGTCGGGATCTGCTTCACCTGCGGCGTCTCAGTATACCGCGAGCTGTATCTCCCTATATACTGTTTTCAAGTCCTCGAAATTTCAGCCAAAATCGTGAGATTTCGGGGAAATGCATCGTAATCATTTGGGGGGGGGGGCTCCATTCACCGCTCCTGGACCCGATCTTGTGCCTGAAAACATCCCTCGTCATCCTCATTATATATTCCGTTATTTAACAGCCCAAAAAGAGTGGCATTGAAAAGTGACCAATGAAGATCTGATACACGGAGGTCATGTGACCGATCCATCACCGGAAATGTAAAGCAGATAAACCCCCATCACTAAGATGTAACATTATAATGTAATTTCCCTGGTGATCCTGCCATGGAGGTCCTTCCTATGACACTTCCTGTTATAGGGTGACAACGCTTCGTCCCTGTCCCCCAATTGCGCTCTTACGTTGTCACCCTGTCACGCGGGATTCCGATGGAATCACCACACATTACACCGCCAAGAAACCCGCCCTGAGAAATGCCGTGCAGACAGGAAGTAGCTGCAAAGAGCCTGCCGGAGGTTTGCCGTACTGAGATGAAACGAATGAAGTAAAAGGGACACACAGGCGGAGCCGCGGGTTTATTTCGTACCGCACTCTGAGGGGTTAACTGGACGTTTTCTGCGCCGCACGAGAAAAGCGAAATGTCACAGAACTGCAATAAAAATAAAATGATCTTTTAGACCTTCAGCCTTCCGCGGCCTTTATTACTTCTGGACCGCGCCGCTGCCAGTCTCTGAGCGCTCACAAAGTTCACCCTCCCCGTCTATAAATAGATCATTCCGAGCGCCGGGAAACCTTTACATGACGCTCCGCGTGTCTACAGTATGTTATCCCGAATCTATGAGACAGCACAGACCCGGGAACTCAGCACAGGGATGGTGGGAGCTCCTCATAATGGGCACAGCGGGTGTACAGACCCGGGAACTCAGCACAGGGATGGTGGGAGCCCCTCATAATGGGCACAGCGGGGGTACAGACCCGGGAACTCAGCACAGGGATGGTGGGAGCCCCTCATAATGGGCACAGCGGGGGTACAGACCCGGGAACTCAGCACAGGGATGGTGGGAGCCCCTCATAATGGGCACAGCGGGGGTACAGACCCGGGAACTCAGCACAGGGATGGTGGGAGCCCCTCATAATGGGCACAGCGGGGGTACAGACCCGGGAACTCAGCACAGGGATGGTGGGAGCCCCTCATAATGGGCACAGCGGGGGTACAGACCCGGGAACTCAGCACAGGGATGGTGGGAGCCCCTCATAATGGGCACAGCGGGGGTACAGACCCGGGAACTCAGCACAGGGATGGTGGGAGCCCCTCATAATGGGCACAGCGGGGGTACAGACCCGGGAACTCAGCACAGGGATGGTGGGAGCCCCTCATAATGGGCACAGCGGGGGTACAGACCCGGGAACTCAGCACAGGGATGGTGGGAGCCCCTCATAATGGGCACAGCGGGGGTACAGACCCGGGAACTCAGCACAGGGATGGTGGGAGCCCCTCATAATGGGCACAGCGGGGGTACAGACCCGGGAACTCAGCACAGGGATGGTGGGAGCCCCTCATAATGGGCACAGCGGGGGTACAGACCCGGGAACTCAGCACAGGGATGGTGGGAGCCCCTCATAATGGGCACAGCGGGGGTACAGACCCGGGAACTCAGCACAGGGATGGTGGGAGCCCCTCATAATGGGCACAGCGGGGGTACAGACCCGGGAACTCAGCACAGGGATGGTGGGAGCCCCTCATAATGGGCACAGCGGGGGTACAGACCCGGGAACTCAGCACAGGGATGGTGGGAGCCCCTCATAATGGGCACAGCGGGGGTACAGACCCGGGAACTCAGCACAGGGATGGTGGGAGCCCCTCATAATGGGCACAGCGGGGGTACAGACCCGGGAACTCAGCACAGGGATGGTGGGAGCCCCTCATAATGGGCACAGCGGGGGTACAGACCCGGGAACTCAGCACAGGGATGGTGGGAGCCCCTCATAATGGGCACAGTGGGGGTACAGACCCGGGAACTCAGCACAGGGATTTGACATATAGAGTCCCAAAGAGAAAGGAGAATCTGTTAACTTTTCCCCAAACACTAGACTGTGTGTGATCTCTTATCAACCAATCAGGAGTCATTCCTTACCTGCGGTGATATTAGTGAATAATCCTTCCCGCGTCTTCACGTCTTCTCTGTGTCTTTAGATGGCACTTTGATGGTCATTATGAAGGTAACGGGCCCATGTGTGTCTCTGTGAAGTTCATTTTCATTCTTTTACAGAAATAAACACAAAACTTTCAGTCTCGTTTCTTTCTTTCTTTTATTATTTGT